ATTCTCTCCATTGACATTTTTCCATACAGCAATTGCTAACTATGGAAACAGTGCGGTGCTGGTGTCTTCATGGCTGCCATGCAGGACCGACAGTACTGCGGCCGTTGCCACCTGACCTACGTCTTCGACAAGCAGTAAATGGATCAACACCCAGAGACTCGGAATATCGGGATGGATAGAGGCTGGGAAAAATCGGGCATGGATCACGGAGTTTTCTGACACAGCCTAGATGGCTTTTGCTACTCTGCACTTTTTCAATATACCTTGTCAACCGGTGAATACTGTTCCTTCGTGCTCCAACTCGTCATTTTAAGAATTTTCCCGTCTACGGATCCGTACTTCGGCTCGAATTATGGATGTGACCCTCCTTTTATTGTGGCAACCGTAATACGGGAGGCCAAGAAATTTGGTAATCCCAGAGCGCAACTTCGGAAAACCGCATGAGCCTTATATTAAATTGACCAGAACAGGAACCGATTCTACCTTGGCCGGGACAGGACATGACGTGAGCTAGAATTTGGCCCGTGAAAATAACCATTTTAAGGACGCTGAAAGAGGTGTAGTAGGTAGAGCAAATCTGTAATCATGATCTCGTGTCTCATCAGAATACTGTATCTAGATATGTACCCTACCATTATTCCCCAATCTACCCAAACGCATTGTACCTATTCAACGAACCAACAAGAGAGAACCCGACCCAATTAAACCCCACCGCCAATCCCCAACCCCCTCATCAATTATCCGTGAACCCGGCGCGTAAATTCTCATACTTGGACAACGGATAGTCGATGCAATTATGCTTCTTGATCAGCGCATCAGGTCCGCCCAACACGTTGAACACATTCGCAATCAAGCTCTCCTCGCCCTCCTTGTCGGAACTGCTCTCCCACCACATGGCGCCGCCGAGGCAGTTAGTGGCAATATACCTGGCCTTCATGCGGGCCATGGGCACTGTGTCATAGGAGACCATGGTTTTCGTACCGGGGTGGTAGCAATACGAAGCGCCGACGTCTTCGTCCACGCGCTCCTCGGACCCGTTCAGCGGTAGTTTCTTATAGTCGTGCACGCCATTCTCCCAGGTTCCCTCGCCAATCCCGCTGTACGGCGTGCCCGGGCCCTCCGTGTTCTGGAACGCGCGCCCGTACAGCGGCATGCCGAGCACGATCTTGTGCGCCGGTACGCCGCGCGACGTGTACGCGGCGATGGCGGCGGCCGTGTTGAAGGGCGTGGCCATCGGGTTGCTAATGCTGTGCAGCAGGTTCGACTGGTGGCCGGCTGTCGCATCCCAGGACCCCGCGTAGTCGTACGCCATCAGGTTCCAGAAGTCCAGATACGCGTTCATGCCGGCTAGGTCCAGCTTGTCGTAGTTCTGGGCGCCTGCGGGAGATGCCACCGTGAGCTCGAAATGATGATGGCTGCCTAGTGATGCGGCGTATGAGTCTAGGGCGGCCCGCACTGTCCGCAACAGCTCGACTAGATCCGCCGCCTCACCGGCGGTTTGCGGGTACTCCCAGTCGATATCGATACCGTCGAAGCCGAGGTTCTTGATGAGCTCCACGCAGGAGTCGGCGAATGTCTGACGACCCTGTGGGGTCGAGGCCGGCATTCGGAAGTTGGAGCTGTAGGTCCAGCCGCCGACGGAGAGCAGGACTTTGAGGTTCCGGTTGCGCCGCTTTAGCAGGTTCAGCTGCTTCATGCATCCGTATAAGTTCGTGCCCACGTCGTTCCAACTGTCACCCTCCCAATGGATGTCTGTGTCGGCCCATGTATCCGTCAAGTACACCTCGCCAGACTCAGGGCGCACGTTGGCGAAGGCGTAAAGAATGTGTGTTAGTTTCTCGACGGGAAGGTCCTGGGGCCGGTGTTTGCGCCCGTAGATGGCCCAGTTGACGAAGTAGGCCACCGTACGGTATTGCTCTGGTCCGCCTCCCATTTTAGGTGCTGTAGAGGAAGGATAGTGGTGAGGGAGGAAATTTAGCTCAGATAAATCCTGTAAATAGGATTGCAGGTTGGTTGATAGTGGACCGCCGCAAAAGAGGAGGCCGGTAAAAAGTAATGTCGTAGAAATGACGGCGAAAACGAGGAGTCTGGGGGATAGCATGGAGGATGAAGGAATCACAGCTTCTTTATAAAGATTGATTCATACATCTGTGATTTGTCTTGAGGATTTGTCTTAACGTCTGTAGCGAGGGCGCCTCTTGCGGTCTAGTGGCATGACGTCGGAGCCCTCCCCTCGCGTCCCCGGGTAATACGGCAGTGTGGCTAATGCATCTCGCTCCTCCGTTACGCAAGTAATTAGAAAAGAGGCTGAGCACGGTTAGCCGTACAGTGTGTTATGCGCATCATTTCGCTACATCGTTGAATATCCACACGGTATGGGGCCATGGGCAGGCCTCGGCCAGGCGTGACCTTGCCGTAAGAAGCACGGCGGCACGATGGAAGGGCCCCACAATTGCAGGGCCAGCCCAACAGCACACAGCCACAGCCACAGCAGCTGAGAGGCCGCCAACAAATCAGGATTCAATGATATTGTCAATGACTACCTGCTGCTATGAGGCGACATAGTCTTGGTAGTGTTGGCCGATTCCGTGATGACAACTTCGTCGAGCAGACGATGCAAGGATGTTAAAAAAGTACCACGAGCCATACTGGGAACTTTGCAAAGCGGCAAGTCAAACAACAGGCTGCGATTCAACTTAGACGGCATACGAGGGGAAAGCCTAGAGCTAGCTATTCCAACCACACAACCACGACGGCAGAGGCCCGGCTTTATTTGACGTCCAGTCTGATCTTACGTTCTCAAAATACTTACCTAAACGATGCGCAGTAATTACTGTCAACTATAGGTATGGGTGTGGCCGCGTCAGATGTTCAGGGGGCTCTATCGACAGTCCATCTCAGTACGGACGTAGTCCGACTTGGATGCCAAGTCTCTGGAATCGCATTGGCCCATCCCATTTTTGGCAACACCAATCATCACCGCAACGCCAATGTTCTCAAGCAAGGTGGTCATATGCCGGCTGAAAACTCTTGACGCCCAAGCTACCACTTCGGAATTGGTGATGGTAGGTATCTGTAATATGCACAATACTTCGTACATCTTGTTGTGCAAATAAGTATTCCGTAACTTCATACCGAAGCTCGGAGACTCGGACGTAAGACCCCCGCCTTTTACCGATTTGCAATGGTCACAGCATCAGGTTACAGACCAATCACAGCTGACAGGGTACACAAACCTGCCTAGGGCTGCAGCAGGTCTCACGATGGGTCCGCATGACGTGCGCTAGCTGTTGGGCTACGACGTCAATGCGGGTGCGGAATATCTCATCGAACGCCACCATCACCATCACTATGTAAGGGCCGGAAAAGACTGAAATGTCTACATATTGCGCCTTTGTGAGGGACAGGTCGCGCATCTTAGAGAGAAAGGCTTGAGTATAGCTACATTATGTACATACGCTAGGTACCTAGTAATAAAGATCGGATGTTCAAAGTATAGCCTATAGGACTGATTAATCTTGAGAAAAGGAATGTTTGGGGCAGCTCTGAAGCAAGTTGGTTCTAAGTAAACACAAAGGAGCGTTGAATTCTAGCTATAATTGAGTTGTAACAATCTCCCAACTTGCCCGACTGCTTCGCTCATCTCTCCGTCTGCATTGGCCGGTTCCATTGTTCCACAACGATGAACTGCGCTCTGATCTCCGTCAGGGACTTCCTATATCCCAGCTCTCGTATCATGACACGATCAGTATCGCATGCGTCCAGATTCTATAGAAAGCTGAATGCGGTTTTGTGTCGGAGGCGCATTGAAAGACTATCTCCAGCGTCCAGCGTCAACCCTTGAGCGCAAAACTATATTCCGCGAAACACTTAGTCCGTCTTGGTGCACTGGATGCTGCCAACTACAACAGTGTTTGTCGACAAGTACGAAGGGTGACCGACTGTGAAGGGGAGGCCGTGGGGGCCCGTGCCGTCCGCAGACTGGTAAGGGATGCAGCTAACGCCGTCACCATCGAGGAGGTATAGCGTCGAGACTTGATCGAGAACCTCCTCGTTTCGGTACAGTGGTCCAACGGGGACCGTGATGGTTGTGTTGGTGCGGTCAATGCCCGTGCCCCCGTGTATCGCTTCAGCAACAACATGGACATTGTCGATTTGTGCGGCTGGAGCCGCGCTGGCGACGGTTAGGAGGGCGGCGAAAGCTGCAGCGCGCATTTTGAATTTTTGGATATTTGGAACGATTTGTTTCCTTAAAAGCAAGATATGTTTGTGAGGTGTATGGTGTATTCGTAGGTTGTGTTGATGCTGATGTTGATGTTGATGTCGTGAATGCTGGGGTTTTCAGGGGGAGCTCTCGAGCCTTCTTATATCTCATTCAAGTCTACCCAGGACCTTACTGCAAATGCCAAGTATGAAGCGATGACCTATCTCGACCGTTATGTCCATGAAATTCATATAAAAAGCAATTATTCTAAGCGCTAAATGAACACGAGAAGTCACGCCATCGGTCTTTCCAACCACTTGCTTTAGCAATGGCCCGATGGTTGGTTCAGGACTGAATATGGTAAATCATTGGCGAAAATTGGTTGGAGCAACTGTTTTTTCGATAAGGGATCACTGCGAATCTTAGGGCAGTGCTGAGAAGAAGTTTACGAGGTCTCCTAGACTAGGCATTATTAATGGTGACTGTTTACAGAGCTGAAATAAGCATCCGCTTATGAGAAGGATACTGTATCAACGTCCTTTCATATCACCTAATCGCGAAGCAGTGCATCATCAATAACATCGCCGCAGCGGCGTATTTTCTTGGTACTCATACTTTTTATAGTAATTTCGTATCAATATTTATATCGAACCCGGTTGTCGAGAGACAATCTTCATGAGCGAAGCGATTTTGACGATTCAAAAAAACAATTATGGGAAAAAAAAAAGGTTGGAAAAGCCCAAGAAAAAAAAAGGAAGGCTGCTATCCCCAGCAATCTGGGGAGCATCAGGAATTGAGCCCGATGCGGGGGTCGAACCTGTTTGAATTGTTAGCATGTTTTTTTGCCTTGTTCGAAGTTGTGGACTGCGAATTTGCAACTTACCCGCAACCTTGAGATTAAGAGTCTCACGCTCTACCGATTGAGCTAACCGGGCGATGGCGACGACCGGCCTTATATTACATAATGACACCAGCGTAAGTTAATTGACGACGGGCTTATCGATAGAATAGCTCCGCATGCACGGATCCGTAGGTCCGTACCAGTACTTGATAGGGTAAGGACTTGCACCGACTTCTCAGGGCTTTGTAAGTACTGGATACCTTCTTATCGCCAAAGTGGAGCAATAGAAGTGGAGTTAGCTAAGCCGAGAGCTACAAGCAGCGTAGAGCTCGGTCCAAAATTTTCAATTTGGTGCTTCATATTCTCAACCACGCCTGGTTACCCTTACAGTAGCGACGGCCCGATCTAACCGCGTTCTGGGTGCCCTATCGAATTGTAGTAGCCGACGCGAGTTGCGGAATTTATTGCAATTTTATTAATTGCGCCTATTTTGACCACCAGAACTCCTAGACACACGCACCAAGCCCGAACATACGCATACGTTAATTAACAAGCCGCGCGATCGAACCGAATCGCCAACATGCCGCACCTCGACTATCTTCTGCACGAGGTTAGCACTCTGTTGTTCTCAACTCGCTGTAATTGTTCTGATTTTGGATTTAGTCCGCCACCGGATACGCCATTTTCAAGGTAGTCCACCAGCAAGATGAAATCGCATTAAGGACAGAGGAGGTGAAGAAGACTGCAGATGACCTGGCCAGGCTCGGCAAGATGATCAGTCTCACTTCCTATGCCGTCTGGAGATCCGCTGCCGAAGCTCTGGAGAACATTCACTCTATCAGTGAAGGTTTAATGACCGACTACTTGAAATCTACGATTGAGCTTAACATACCCGCGTCCAAGAAGAGCAAGATTGTCCTGGGTGTCGCTGATAAGAACCTTGCTGGAAACATCAAAGCCGCCTTTCCCGGAATTGAGGCCGAAACAAGCGAAACATCCGATGCTGTGGCATATCTTCTCCGTGGCATTCGTCTACACTCATCCAAATTATTCAAGGAGTTGAATGAAGGCGATGAAGAAAAGGCCCAGTTGGGTCTTGGCCATGCTTGTAGGGCTCACCTTGTGTTCATTAATCACTATCAATTGACTTACACCCGACAGACTCTCGCAGTAAAGTCAAGTTTAATGTACACCGCAATGATAACCATAGTAAGTTTCCCCATCGCTATATCTCTGCACTGTTGGAACTTTCGAGGGCGTTGAGAGTTTGGATTTTCGGTCTTCATTAGCGTTCTTCCCAGAACGTGAGATGATTGTGATACGCTCATCGAATATATCTCGAGTGAATCGTGACTGATAATCGTTGTTATAGTTATCCGTGCCATTGCCACGTATGTAGTATGCCAAAAGTCCGTTTTAATCAGACTATTGTTAACTTTAGACTGGGCAGTCTGGATAACCTGGATAAGGTAAGGATTTATGACCTAACTTTCCCACATCTTTTTCTCATCTATACGTTTAATATGATTCCCCATTTAAGGCAACCGATAATTACTGACATTTCCTTCAGGGCATCAATCTCTTTTCTCAGAAGCTGTGAGTCAAAGATCAACCAACTCCTTCACGGTCAACCTTGAAAACAAGTCCTTTCTCGGTGGGGTGACCGAAAAGAGGTCACTTTTACATGTTAACTAAGCGAATGACTACTGACTTGCTATGTAGACGGGAATGGTACAGTTGGCATTTTCCGGAGCTGGTCAGTAGTACATGATTATTTCTTATACAAAACATGCTGATCCTCTGATGTAGTACGCAATTTGCTCCGACAACCTCACGTATGCTAAGGTAGCGCGCTTCGTGGGAGACAAAAGCACCCTAAGTGAAGACAAGCTTCATGAGCTGGCTGGACTTATGGGCGATGACGAAGAAAAGGCCACCGAGGTTATTCTCAAAGCGAGGATGTCTATGGGACGAGAACTGAGTGCCGTTGACCTGGAAAACGTCCTCACTTTTGCCGTAAAGGTGCAAAGCTTGGCAGGTAAGGCTCAGAGACGCATACGATTTTATTTGGAAAATACTGACTTTTTGCCTACAGAATACAGGAGAACATTGTACTCCTACTTAACTGACAAAATGGACATTGTGGCGCCCAATCTCTCTACCCTAAGTCAGTAAACTCTCTCTTTTTGCTTTCTATGGAGTTTTAGCTGTTTGTTATCTTCGTATCCAAGAAACCATCATGAACCCTCGATTTAATCTTTTCTACTGACTCTCGTCTCCAATAGTTGGCGATGTGGTTGCAGCGCGTCTGATTCAGAAAGCCGGCTCATTGACGAATTTGTCAAAGTATCCCGCTTCAACGCTCCAGATTTTGGGTGCAGAGAAAGCCCTTTTCAGAGCTTTGAAGACTAAGAGGTTCGTGTTGACATCCCCTGGCTCCTTCGGTCGTGTCTCGTGAGCAGGTGTTCCCTGGGACATGACCTACTTTCTTATACCAATTGAATCTGTTTCTGTCATGGCACAACGGAATACTAGATACTGATTTCTTTCTAGCAATACCCCCAAGTATGGTCTTATCTTCCACAGCAGTTTCATCGGCCGGGCCTCGCAAAAGGACAAGGGCCGCGTAAGCAGATATCTTGCAAACAAGTGCAGTATTGCGTGAGTAACATCCCATATAATATCATGTTTCTATGTGGTTTATATATGCCAGGGCAATTGCTGATAATCGTTGAAGGGCGCGTATCGATAACTTCTCCGAGCAGCCTTCTAAGAAGTTCGGTGAAGTTCTACGTAACCAAGTCGAGGATAGACTCGAGTTTTACGCTACAGGCAAAAAGCCTATTAAGAACTCCGACGCAATGGTGAGCCTACCCCCTCGAATAAGTATGTCCACAATCACTAACACACCAAAAGGATAAGGCTGTAGCGGATCTATTGGCTGAGGGTGAGAGCATGGCTATCGACACTGAGATGATAGACGCCCCACTTCCCTCCGACGCACAATCGAAAAAGGAGAAGAAATCCAAGGACAAGAAGGAGAAGAAGGAAAAGAAGGAGAAAAAGGAGAAGGAAGAAAAGAAAGAGAAAGAGGAAAAGAAAGATAAGAAGGAAAAGAAGCGGAAACAGAGCGAGGTCGAAGACGCCGCCGATGCAGACGCCGACGCCGACGGGGAGAAAAAGAAGAAAAAGAAGAAGAGACACTCGGAGGCGTAATCGAGTCCTGGAGCGACAGCGGCAATCGCGAACGGACATGGTATCTCACGCATGGTTATGGGCGTTCTGGATCCGGACTGGTGTTTTTTTCCTCGGGTGTCTCGTGTAAATACTTATTTTATTCTGGGATCATACCCATTTGTTTTTCTTTCCCCTTTTTCGTTGCTGTCTTTGTTCCTCGCGGGTGTGCTTTGCTGTTTTATAGGACTGATCTCTATGAATATCGAAGCTCCTTCGACTAATGACGCCATGGGGGAAGGTGAATCTGTGTGTCGATGTCCTACAACCTGGTCTGCCACATGAGCTACTACATGGATATACCTTAGAACATGGGCGACCAGAGCGGCTGACTGTGTTTCTGACTCACGTATATATCACGATCGAAATCGAAAGCAGGAGGAAGGCTCTTATGAGCGAAACAAAACAAAAGTTATTAATAAGCTTGAATCTTGTCATAGATGCCGTAGCCACGACCAATAAGTACACCAACCACACCAAAAGCCCGCCCGGCTCCGTATCCCGAATAAGACGCCTCCAACGCCTCTGTAATGCCATGACTTTGTTTTGACCCTTCTCACTCTATGTACCTTCATCGCTTGCTTTCGCGCCTATTGTACGCGCAATGCTACGTCTAGTTCCCTTCGCTACCGAACTCTTTCGTCCACTCTGCGTTTCGGGTGAGGTCCCCTTCGGCGACGGTTGGTCGTGAGGAATTGATGGCCTTGATGAAGTCCTTAAGGTCGACAAGGGGTTCGAGGAGGGTTTCGGCGTCTATGTCGTCCCATGTCATTTCCTTAGCGCCTGGGTCTCCTGGAGAACAAGGCGTGACTTTTATTACACCGTCCACGTTAACCTGTTACGGGGTGACGATTGTTAGTGTCAATTCGATTTGAGCACTGGAGGGATGGATGTCTTACCTCTTTGAAATGCGTCGCTTGTTGGATTTTCCGTACCGGCTGCATTAGGGCGTCTTGTACAACTATGGTGACATCGCTACCTGAGTAGCCTTCGGCGAGTTTGGCCAATTTGCGGTAATCTTCGCTCTTTAATGTGGTTGGTGTCTCTCCAATAGCAATCTTAAACATGGTTGTCCTGGCGCCGATGTCTGGTAAACTGATGTGGACTCTGCGTTGGAAACGTCTTCGGATGGCAGCATCTAGTTGCCATGGGATATTGGTTGCGCCGAGCACGAGTACTCCTGTTGAATCTTTACCCACACCGTCCATCTGTACAAGCATTTCGGTCTTGATTCGGCGGGAGGCCTCCGACTCGCCTTCGCCTCGAGGGCCGCAAAGCGCGTCGACTTCGTCGATGAATATAATTGATGGCTTGTTCTCGCGAGCCATGGCAAATAACTGTTTTACTAGCCTGTATTTCCGTTGTGTGAACTTGCTTGTCGAGACACATGGGAGGGCCGACTAGGCTTACCTTTCACTTTCACCCATCCACTTGCTGACCAAGTCACTGCTGCTCACACTGAAAAATGTGCTCTTCGCCTCTGTAGCCACAGCCTTGGCTAAGTAACTCTTTCCTGTTCCCGGTGGTCCATAGAGCAGAATACCCTTCCATGGCTTCCGCTTGCCCTTGAAGAGATGTGGGAACTTGATAGGTAAGAGCACGGCCTCCTTTAAAGCTTCTTTTGCGCCATCTAGGCCAGCAACATCGTCCCATTTGACATTTGGGCGGTCCTGTAGAATAGCACCAGCAAGGGCATTCCGTAGCTTCTTCGAGTCCTCGTCCACGGCACCATCCTCGCCGTCCTGCTTGCCTTTACCCGTACCGCCGGTGGAGGAGCCATTAGCACCCACTAATCCCGGTTTCTTTCGCTTGGCTTCGGCGTCGGCAAGGTGGGCTTTCAACTTCTCGGCGCGGTCCATG